CAAGTTAGAGAAGATATAATTTTCTCCATAAATCTTAATCCTTTTACAGGATATAATACTTCTTGATGATTAATGTATCTTTTTAGTCTTTTAGACTATCTAATACTTTTAATACATATCTTTTACTATTTATGAATTAAAACTCAATCTTACAAAGTTGATAATTTATTATTTTTAATATTAATCCCTATTATAAATAATATTAAATTAAGTAAATTTATCATATAATCTCCTGGATGAATTATAAAGAATTTGTGTTAAGTTAGTTTCTTTAAGTACTTTTTTCCACTCTTTATTTTAATCTTTTCATTTTACTCAATGTCTCTGTTTAGGTTATTAATCTAATGTAGTATCATTTAAATTTAAATCTCTACAAATATTAATTGATAAAAGTTTTATGACATATCTCCATCATTATTCTCTATAACAGAAATGAATAAAACTTTGAAAAATTAGAACTTACCTAGCTTTAGAAGTGAAGATGAAGAGTAGAATCTGATAAAGAAATAATAAAAGAAAATATTAGATATTGATTGGAATTATACTTATAATGTTGTTTATGAATAATCAAGTTCAATGTTACTTAAACTCTTCCAAAAAGTAACTTCCTTTTGATTTAAACAATGTCTTTAAATCTACACCAGATTGATGTATAAACGATCCTTTCAAAATTAGTGTTCCTTATGCTGAAAATATTGCCTATTAGGATATAAGGAGTGTAGTGATGTAATTGGAGGCTAAAAATATTATAGAGGATAAATAGTACCTTCAAAAATATGGCTATGTTATTGGAGTGGAATCTTAAATTATGTTAAAAGATCTTTGTAGTTTTTCTAAGAAAAAAATAGCCAAATTAGATGGTCATTCATCTGTTGTCTTATCAATTTGTTTTTCTCCTGATGGAAACACATTAGCTTCTGGTAGTGGTGATTGTACTATCCGTCTATGGGATGTCAAAACAGGAGAATAAAAAGCCAAATTAGATGGTCATAGTGATTAAGTTTGTTCAGTCTGTTTCTCTCCTGATGGAAATACATTAGCCTCTGGTAGTGATGATAAGTCTATCCGTCTATGGAATGTCAAAACAGGATAATAAAAAGCCAAATTAGATGGTCATAGTGATTTAGTTTGGTCAGTCTGTTTCTCTCCTGATGGAAATACATTAGCTTCTGGTAATGAAGATAAGTCTATCCGTCTATGGAA